ACCAAACTTGGCACACAGAGCCTCCATGACCCACTCTACATTCTGGTGCAGTTTGGATGAGGATGGACCATGGATGATGGGACTTGCAGTACCTTCACTCATCTCCTGAGACTACAGCGACACATCCAATTACCAATAAAGACCAAACTTGGCACAGAGAGCTCCCATGGCCAACTCAACATTCTGGTGCGGTTTGGGGAAGGACAGACTACAGATGATGGGACTTGTAGTACCTTCACTCGCTTTCTGAGACCATTCCGAACCTCATCCAATGACTGATCAAGACCAAACTTGGCACACAGAGCCTCCATGACCCATTCTACATCCTGGTGCGGTTTGGAGGAGGATGGACCATGGATGATGGGACTTGCAGTACCTTCACTCATCTCCTGAGACTACAGCAACACATCCAATTACCAATAAAGACCAAACTTGGCACAGAGAGCTCCCATGGCCAACTCTACATCCTGGTGCAGTTTGGGGGAGGACAGACTACGGATGAAGGGACTTGTAGTACCTTCACTCACTTTCTGAGACTGCTGTGAACCTCATCCAATGACTGGTCAAGACCAAACTTGGTACACAGTCCCCATGACCCAATCTACATCCTGGTGCTATTTGGAGGAGGGTGGACCATGGGACTCGCAGTACTTTCACCAACTTCCTGAGACCACTGCAAGCCACATAAATGATAAATACCAACCCTGGCACACAATGCCTTTCTCAAATAACCCGGGCACTGCCGGGTCCCCAAGCTAGTAATATATAAAATATATAAAATAAAATAAAAATTAATATGGCGACCCTACTTCACGGATTTTCACTTATCATGGATGGTCCTGAACAGAACCCCCACGATAAGTGAGGAAACACTGTACGTTGCACAAGCCTTTGGGTTTCTCCAAGAAGCAGCAGCTTAGCGCCAACCCTCCAGAGCCGCCGCACGGCAGGCAGAGCTCAGCAGTACAGATCAAAACCGACGCATGGGAGCTGAAGACGGAAGGAGGCGGCCCACGTTCCCCCAGGCCTCCACTTAACACAGATTAATGCCTCTGCTCTTTAGATCTTTTACTCTTCTGCGCTCTTGCCAAAGCACAAACCTTGGGAATCAGGTTTCAAACTATTGCTTGCTTTAGGGAAGCGGAGTGCTCATTATCTTTCGCCACCCCATCGCTCAGACCACGGCAATGCTTCCAGAGCATCCATCAAAGCATTCTCATCCAGCTTTGCCCTTTCAGCCATTAAAGCTAAGGAGCCCCAAGTATTTCCTTCAACATGCTGAGTATTTATATTTATTTATCGTGTCAGAAGCGAATCAAGCATACAGTTATAAGATGATTAAAAATACAAACTAAGTTATTATACTAAATGTCCTTTGACATGTCCAGCTGGTTTTCCCTGTAATAGGCAGTAAGAGCACCTAAAGCTTCAGAAAACTTCTCTTCAACCATTTCAAAGCTCCCTACTTGGGCGGTGATGGCACGATCATCAGCATAGAGAAAATTCTCTGTCCCTCCTGACAGTGGCTGCTTATTTGTGTAAATGTTAAACACTGACAGTGGAAACTGGTTTTCCCAGTAATAGGCAGTAAGAGTACCTAAAGCTTCAGAAAACTTCTCTTCAACCATTTCAAAGCTCCTTGCTTGAGCAGTGATGGCACGATCGTCAGCACAGAGTGTCTGACATGATAAGCACAATTTAAAATCTTTCTCAAACTTTTATCTATCTGTAAGAATATTACAAAGACTGTTTATTGGAATGTTATTTTGTCACTGTGTTTATACTTTTTTCCCCTATGTAATTTTGATGATGTTGCTTGTTGTTTATGTTCTGGTTCTATTTTGCTGTAACATGTTGTCCAGGCTTGGCCCCATGTAAGCCGCCCCGAGTCCCCATTGGGGAGATGGTGGTGGGGTCTAAATAAAGATTATTATTATTATTATTATTATTATTATTATTATTATTAATGCAGCCAAGGCTAGAATTTCTGCAAAATCTATAAGGTATACAATGAATCTATCTGTCTGTCCGTCTGCCTGCTAACCTGCATATCTATCTATCTATCTATCTATCTATCTATCTATCTATCTATCTATCTATCATAGAGTCTATAAACTTATAAATGATCTGTGATTTTAAAATGTGTGTTTTATTTTGTTTTATGTGTTGATAGCGTTGTTTTATACGTGATATTATTTTATACTCATGTATCGTTTATGTTATATTGTATCTGGAGTGCCTTCTAAGACACCCCGAGTCCCCTTTGGGAGATGGTGGTAGGATATAAATAAAGTTTATTATTATTATTTATTATCTATCTATCTATGCTGGGGAAAGTAGAAGGTAAAAGGAAGAGGGGCCGACCAAGGGCAAGATGGATGGATGGCATCCTTGAAGTGACTGGACTGACCTTGAAGGAGCTGGGGGTGGTGACAGCCGACAGGGAGCTCTGGCGTGGGCTGGTCCATGAGGTCACGAAGAGTTGGAGACGACTGAATGAATGAACAACAACAACATCCATCCATCCATCCATCCATCCATCTATCTATCTATCTTCTTCTTAGGTGATCCCTCGCTTTCCGAGGATGATTGTCTTCCAATATTCTTGTGGGTCCGTATGTGGCTGTGGAGCCCTATTCTTGCTCTGCATCTTCTTCCGCAGTGAGGGCATTGGTTTCCAGGTGGAAGGCGGTCTCGGCCGGGGTTGGCTTGACGCGCCTTCCTCTTGGCACGTTTCTCTTTTTCACCCTCCACTCGTGCCTCCTCAAATTCTGCAGCACTGCTGGTCACAGCTGACCTCCAGCTGGAGCGGTCAAGGGCCAGGGCTTCCCAGTTCTCACTGTCTATGCCAGAGTTTTTAAGGTTGGCTTTGAGCCCATCTTTAAATCTCTTCTCCTGTCCTCCAACATTCCGTTTTCCGTTCTTGAGTTCGGAGTAGAGCAGCTGCTTTGGGAGACGGTGGTCGGGCATCCGGACAACATGGCCGGTCCAGCGGAGTTGGTGCGGAGGACCATCGCTTCAATGCTGGTGGTCTTTGCTTCTTCCAGCACACTGACGTTTGTCCGCTTGTCTTCCCAAGAGATTTGCAGGATTTTCCGGAGGCAGCGCTGATGGAATCGTTCCAGGAGTTGCATGTGACGTCTGTAGACAGTCCACGTCTCACAGGCATAGAGCAGGGTTGGGAGGACAATAGCTTTATAAACAAGCACCTTGATATCCCTACAGATGTCCCGGTCCTCAAACACTCTCTGCTTCATTCGGAAAAATGCTGCGCTTGCAGAGCTCAGGCGGTGTTGTATTTCGGCGTCGATGTTGACTTTGGTGGAGAGGTGGCTGCCAATGTCAACATTTTCTAATGTTACACCATTAAGCTGTATCACTGGCATTGGAGAGGGGATGGCTGGTGACTGCTGGAAAAGCACCTTGGTTTTTTCAATGTTCAATGACAAGCCGAGCTTCTCATATGCCTATGATATTATGACTAAAGTATTTTAGACCTGAAATTAGACCTGATCACCAATTGTCAGCATATCTCTCGTTTGTCTGCATGTGTCAAAATATTTGAATGACTCCATAGCAATAAATCAGAACTCCAGACAAAAGCAGAATACGCATGGGAGAAGAGAACAGCAGCACGCCAGACAAACCCTTAACAGAGAAGTAAAGAGCGGTTTGACTCAACAGCATTAGTCAGATAGATCTCTTGAGGGAGTAATAATACTTTACGTGGATCTCTGCTGCCAGCCACAGATTTAAGGTACTATTTTTTAATCATTTGAATATATTCTATTTCAACGGCTCCCAAAACATCTGGGACACAATTAATAGGAAGACACTGCCATCTAGCGGAGGATGCTTTAACTCTGATTTGAAATTTCAGTTTGGCCATTGAGGTCGTTCCTCTTCGAACCCAAAGGCACATAATGTGCAACAACAACAACAACAACAACAACAACAACAAATAAGAAGAAGAAGAAGAAGAAGAAGAAGAAGAAGAAGAAGAAGAAGAGTGTCTGTTGTGGACTCATCTTGTTGTGTTTCTAATAATAATAATAATAATAATAATAATAATAATTATTATTATTATTATTATTATTATTATTATCATCACATTTTCAGCATCAGAGCAAGGCAATGCCAATCAGTCTTGCAAGAAAGCCCTATATAGAGAGCAGGTCAACTGGAAGACCCATAATGTGCAATAATTATAATAATAATAGTAGTAATAATAATAGAATCACACTCTCTCAGCTTCAGTGCAAGGCAATGCCAACTGGTCTTGCAAGAAAGCCCTATATAGAGAGCAGGTCAACTGGAAGGCCCATAATGTGCAATAATAATAATAGAGTCATACTCTCTCGGCCTCAGTACAAGGCAATGCCGATTGGTCCTGCAAGAAAGCCCTATATAGAGCGTAGGTCAACTGGAAGGCCCATAATGTGGAATAATAATAATAATAATAGTAATAATAATAGAGTCACACTCTCTCAGCATCAGTGCAAGGCATTATCAATTAGTCTTGCAAGAAAGCCATATAAAATGAGCAGGTCAACTGGAAGGCCCATAATGTGCAATAATAATAATAATAATAATAATAATAATAGAGTCACACAGTCTCAGCCTCAGTGCAAGGCTATGCCAATCAGTCTTGCAAGAAAGCCCTATATAGAGAGCAGGTCAACTGGAAGACCTATAATGTGCAATAACAACAACAACAATTGTGTCTCTTATAACATATAAAAAAAAACCCTGAATAGTTATTTTATCTCTCTCTTTTCTCTTTCTAAACAGTTAATAACATTGGTTTTTTTTCTTTTTACAGATGCACAAGTCCTTTTAAATTTCACAAGCAATGCCTGGAAGATTTTCAAGGCAAGAGAAAAAGGCGAGTGTCATTTTTCTGGGACGTTTCAAAGATCATAACTCCATACAGAAATGGACCACAAGCCAGTTATTTGCACCAACAGGAACCCAAGGCTTCCCCTTTCCCCCTTACTCACCCTGATCAATAGAATGCTGAGGAAGTTGGCTAAGTTGGCTATTCACTACCCCTGCGTATGTCCGTAAAAACTCTTCCTCACTGGTGGTTAACTGGGGGGAAAAGGACAAAGCAGAGTAAATCCACAAAAATATGGCACAACTTCAAACAGGGTCTGTGTGTCTTGTTGCAATTGACATTACTTTCCTTTGCAATCCTTAGTCAAACAAACAAAGCCCTGGGCCGAGCTCTAGCACAGCAGGTTAAGCCAGCAGCTGTTTACTTTCCTAGCTTGTCAGTAGAAAGGCTGCCAATTCGAAGCCCAGGTCAAGGCGAGCTCCTGGCCTTTACTCCAGCTTCCGCCTACCTAGCAGAAATTGGCAGCTGTCAATCAAGCAAAAATCACTGGGTTTTTTTGTCTCTTTATTGTTATATGTTAGTGTTTAATTATGATTTTTCTTTTTACATGTATGTTGGCATTGAATTTTTGCCATTAGTATGTTGTAAACCGACTTGACCCCCACCCCCCACCCCAATGGGTGAGAAAGACGGTATATAAATATAGTAATTAATAATGTAATACAATATAATACAAATAATAATAATATGATATTATAATTATGTATTTTATATTACACTAGCCGTTCCTTGCCATGTGTTGCTGTGGCCCACATGGGGGTTCTGTGTGGGAGGTTTGGCCCAATTCTATCGTTGGTGGGGTTCAGAATGCTCTGTGATTGTAGGTGAACTATAAATCCCAGCAACTACAACTCCCCAATGTCAAGATTCTATTTTCCCCAAGCTCTACCAGTGTTCACACTTGGACATATTGAGTATTTGTGTAGAGTTTGGTCCAGATCCATCATTGTGTGAGTCCACAGTGATCTCTGGATGTAGGTGAACTACAACAACAAAACCAAAGGACACTGCCCACCAAACCCTTCTAGAGTTTTCTGTTGGCCGTGGGAGAACTGTGTGCCAAGTTTGGTTCAATTCCATCATTGGTGGGGTTCAGAATGCTCTGTGATTGTAAGTGAACTATAAATCCCAGCAACTACAACTCCCAAATGTCAAGATTCTATTTTCCCCAAACTCCACCAGTGTTCACATTTGGGCACGTTGAGTCTTTGTGTAATGTTTGTTTGTGGGATTAACAGAACTCAAAAACCACTGGACGAATAGACATCAAATTTGGACCCAAGACACCTAATAACCCAATGTATGCCCTTCACTCAAAAATTGATTTTGTCATCTGGGAGTTGTAGTTGCTGGGATTTATAGTTTACCTAAAAACAAAGAGCATTCTGAACCCCACCAACGATGGAATTGAACCAAACTTGGCATACAGTTCTCCCATGACCAACAGAAAACACCAGAAGGGTTTGGTGGGCACTGACCTTGAGTTTTGGAGTTGTAGTTCACCTACATAGAGATCACTGTGGACTCAAACAATGATGGATCTGGACCAAACTCTACACAAATACTCAGTATGTCCAAATGTGAACACTGGTGGAGTTTGGGGAAAATAGAATCTTGACATTTGGGAGTTGTAGTTGCTGGGATTTATAGTTCACCTACAATCAAAGAGCATTCTGGAACCCCACCAACGATGGAATTGAACCAAACTTGGCACACAGTTCTCCCATGACCAACAGAAAATACTGGAAGGGTTTGGTGGGCAGTGTCCTTTGGTTTTGGAGTTGTAGTTCACCTACATCCAGAGAGCACTGTGGACTCAAACAATAACGGATCTGGACCAAATAATAATATTTTATTTCGGTCATAGACCAGCACAGGAAATAAAAGCCACGGTTTCATATGAACTTGGTATGTTTAGTACATTTAAAGTATAAATATATGATGAAAATACAAATCTAAATAGATTATCAAAATGTCAGCCTGGTTGCCTGCCATACTTACATTGGACCCCATCTTCCTAAGCATAAGCAGGACTCTGACTTTCTGTTGTATATACATCTCCTCCGGACTCTTCCCGGGGACGCCCTCACGGTTCATTCCCTTCGTTCCAGTTCCTGAGACGTCTAAAGATTTGACACACAAACACAAAACAAAGAGATACCAACGGTTAAAACCATTGTTGAGAAGAACTGACTTGATGGATAGTAGGTGGTTCAACTCTGCAATGAAATGTCATGTTTTGGCTCCTGGGAAGGTTGAGCTTGAACGGCAATCTAGTCAAACTGACAACTTCATTTTCCGTAGGGAAGAAATGGCACAGTGCACGTCCTTAGGGAAGGCAATGCTGTCAGGAGGACATCTCAAAGTACTACACACCAGTGTGGATATCGGTAGTACAAGGGTTGAATGGAAAGTAATGCCTCCACCTTCGTAACTCCCCAAAGATGGCAGGTACTGGCTTGTTCAGTAGACTCTCCTCTACAGTTCCATTTTGACGGGAAGCCTTAGCATTGAACAGACCTTTGTAACTCCTCAACAGATGGCAGTACTGGTATGCGGCAGGTACTGGCTTGTTCAGTAGATTCTTCTCTACAGTTCCATTTTGGTGGGAAGCCTTAGCATTGAACGTACCTTTGTAACTCCTCAACAGATGGCAGTACTGGTATGCGGCAGGTACTGGCTTGTTCAGTAGACTCTCCTCTACTGTTCCATTTTGGCGGGAAGCCTTAGCATTGAACGGACCTTTGTAACTTCTCAACAGATGGTAGTACTGGTATGCGGCAGGTACTGGTTTGTTCAGTAGACTCTCCTCTACAGTTCAATTTTGGCGGGAAGCTTTAGCATTGAACGGTTGTGTTGTCAATGTGCGAAGTATGGAACCCTGTGCATACGGTTGGTCAATGTGACTTACTTAGATGATCCCTCGTAGTCCGAGGATGATGGTCCTCCAAGTGTAGTGTCCTGGCAGTGGGTCCGTAGGTGACTGTGGAGCCCTATTCTTGATCTGCATCTTCTCCCGCAGTGAGAGCATCGGTTTCCAGGTGGAAGGCAGTCCCAGTGGGGTTGGCTTGACGCGCCTTCCTCTTGGCATGTTTTTCTCTTTCACCCTCCATTCGTGCCTCTTCAAATTCTACAGCACTGCTGGTCACGGTTGACCTCCAACTGGAGCGCTCAAGGGCCAGGGCTTTCCAGTTCTCAGTGTCTCTGCCAGAGTTTTTAAGGTTGGCTTTGAGCCCATCTTTCAATCTCTTTTCCTGCCCACCAACATTCTGTTTTCCATTCTTGAGTTTGGAGTAGAGCAACTGCTTTGGGAGACGGTGGCTGGGCATTCGGACACCGTGGCTGGTCCAGCAGAGTTGATGACGGAGGACCATCGCTTCAGTGCTGGTGGTCTTTGCTTCTTCCAGCATGCTGACATTTGTCCGCTTGTCTTCCCGAGATTTGCAGGATTTTTTGGAGGCAGCACTGATGGAATGCTCCAGGAGTTGCATGTGACATCTGTACAGAGTCCACATCTCACAGGCGTATAGCAGGGTTAGGACAATAGCTTTATAAACAAGCACCTTGGTATCCCTACAGATGTCCTGGTCCTCAAACACTCTCTGCTTCATTCGGGAAAAAGCTGCACTCGCAGAGCTCAAGCGGTGTTGCATTTCGGTGTCAATGTTGATTTTTGTGGAGAGGTGGCTGCCAAGGGAGCGGAAATAGTGAACATTTTCTAATGTTAAACCATTAAGTTGTATTTCTGGGTTGGAGAGGGATTGACTTAAGAAATGTACGGTCATTAAATTCTTGACAGGAGAAGTTTTCACCCCAAAGCAGATTAATCAGAGAATGCAAGTCGTTTATGGTGATTGTGTTGATACAAGTATTGTACGTCATTGGGCTAGTAAGTTTAAAGATGTTGAGATGGGAACACCTGACTTGCGTGACAAACAAAGAGTTGGACGTCCTGTGACAGCAACCACTGAGTTTCATGAGCAAAAGGTTGACAGGTTGATTCAGGACACTTGTCGTATCACTCAGAGAGAAATTTCAAGCATACTCGGCATTTCACAAGAACGTGAGGGCCACATTTTTGCTTTGCTTGGCTATCGGAAGATCTGTGCACGATGGGTACCCAGGATGCTGATGCCTGAAATGAAAACGCACAGACTTGTAACTTCAGAGACTGGATCTCACTACCATATGGCATCCACTACACAGTCCAAATTTAGCACCATCCGACTTTCATCTTTTCCCGATAATGAAAGAAAATCTGTGGGGACATCATTATGCTTCTGATGAAGATATTGAGAGATCTGTGCATGATGGGTACTCAGGATGAGAGAACTGTGAGACGCTGGTTGCGGAAACAGAGTGTCGACTTCTTCCGTGACAGCTTCAGAAAACTTGTTCATTGTTGGCAGAAATGTATCCAATTGTCCAGTGATTATGTGGGAAAGTGAATAGTGGTAGTTAAAGAGCACATTCCAAGGATTATTTCTGCGTTTGATTTATTAAAATATTCCCATCCAAACCCAAGTAACGAAGGTGGAGGCATTACTTTTCATTCAACCCTCCTCTATGATTCAGAAGCAACCACTGTCACTTTTTTCCTGGGAAAGCATTAGTCAAATGGGAGCTTTTGTTGTTACTATTCCAAACAGTATTACAGTGGGTTGCTGTGAGTTTTCCAGGCTGTATGGCCGGTCTTACCTGTTTGCCTAGTTGCCTCAGGCTGTGAGAACAGGAGAAGGAATCAAAGACGTAATCCAGAGCTTGGGGAAAGCATGAAGGGTGGCTCCTGCAAACACACAGACAGGGAGGCAGGAGTCAACGTGTTTCGAAGTCACACCCAGCCATTCAGGGACGAAGGGGAGCATGCCCAGAACAAGAGAGAACAGGGACAGGCAAACTTTCTATTGCCTGCTCCTAATATTTATTTATTTACTTATTTATGACAATTATATGCCGTACTTCTCACTCTGAAGGGGACGCAGAGCAGTATATTATATTACCATAGCACAATATTAGTATTATAGATTAATATACTGCACTATACCATTATACTGTAATATGATATGTAATAAAAATTATATAATTATAATATTGCATTATTATTAGTGGTATTATATTGCATTACATTATAATAGTATCAATATTATATGTATGTCCAATATATTATTTTATATTATATTATATTATATTATTTATGGCATTTATATGCCGCCCTTCTCACCCCGAAGTATTTATATATATATATATATAGATAGATAGAGAGAATTACTGTATATACTCGAGTATAAGCCTAGTTTTTCAGTCCTTTTTTTTAGGCTGAAAAAGTCTCCCGCGGCTTATACTCGAGTCAATGTTATTTATTATTTTACTTTGTTGTTGTTATTATTATTGTTGCATTTATTATTTTATTGTTGTTGTTATTGTTACATTTATTTTACTCTATTTATTATTGTTATTGTTACATTTATTATTTTACTGTATTGTTATTATTACATTTATTATTTTACTCTATTATTAGTGTTATTATTACATTCCATTATTTTACGTTATTATTATTATTATTATTATTATTATTATTATTATTATTTTACTCTATTTATTATTATTATTGGAGGACATGTAAGTATATTCACTTTGAAGAAGGTTAGAATAATGGTTTAATCAGAGTTGGACAGTCTCATCTGGAATTACAGTTTTATGTAAATAATAATAATAATAATAAACTTTATTTGTACCCCGCTACCATCTCCCCAAGGGACTCGGTGCGGCTTACATGAGGCCAAGCCCACAACACATCAATAAACAAAGGCAATAACAAACAATCAATACAAAACAGTTAAAATAAAATAAAACTCAATATTCAAAAACATTTAACCTAACGATGCCTAAATTAATATAATGTTATTGGTATCTATTTTTATTTTGAAATTTACCAGTAGCTACTGCATTTCCCATCCTTGGCTTATACTCGAGTCAATACATTTTCCCAGTTTTTTGTAGTAAAATTAGGTGCCTCGGCTTATATTCGGGTCAGCTTATACTCRAGTATATACGGTATATATTACTATACTGTACTATACCATTATACTGTAATATTATATGCAATATTACATGTAATATAAATATATAATTATAATATTAGTAGTAGTAGTAGTATTATATTGTATTACATTATAATATTATCAATAGTAGTATTATATTGTATTACATTATAATATTATCAATATTATATGTATATACAATATATAATATTATATTATATTACATTATCAGCATACAACAATTAAAATGAAGAACAATTTCAACAAATATAAACTTATTAGTATTTCARTGGGAAGTGTGGGCCTGCTTTTGGCTGATTCGATAGGGTTGTTGTTGTTGTTGTTTGCTTTCAAGTCATTTCAGACTTAGGTTGACCCTGAGCGAGGGCCGGGTAAATKATCTTGGAGGGCCGTATCCGGCCCGCAGGCCTTAGTTTGAGGACCCCTGGTTTAGACAAACATTACATAGAGGAGGCTTGAGAGGTTGCATTTTTCAACAAATGTTTGCCGTATATGTGTTGTGTGATCTGCTCTAAGCACCCTTTGGGTAAGAGGAATGGAATATAGATACTGTAAATTAAATTAAATAAATATGCAACTCACCTGGCTCTGCGGAATGAAAGAAAGCTCACCGAGTATTCAATTGTGATGATCTCAGCTTGGAAACACCATAAGCCGTTAACTTGAGGAAAGAAAGGACCGGTTTTAACATGCACTATTTATTTATTGGGGAAGCAGTATCTATAAGGCACTCTACATCTAAGGAAGCCCCACACGGCGTACAACAGCAGATCAAGGAACTTCAAATACTTTGGATGCATTCAAGGGCTGCCTAAGTGAAGACATGATCTATCTGTTCTTCGCACAACACATTTGTGCAACCGTTTCAATGAGGCTTGTGCTTGAGATGACAAATTAAAGTTTTATACAAGAGCAAAACTACTGTCATTAGGAACAGGGAGGGAATCAAAAGGAAGTCAATGCACCTGTGTGGAACAACAAAGGTAAACAGGAGGAACACTATGTTCTAGGCCTAAAGGCAGCCCTAACAAACCCCTCTTTCCATTCCCATAGCTAGTGCTGTGGTTCCGCCTGACAATCCCAGAATCCTCAGTGGATGTTCAGTTAGAGACAGATCCAGAGGCTGACAGGTCTGAACTAGCTTTCCCAAGAGAACCAAGGTCGGAATTTGAGAGGAATGTGTTAATTGGGGATGTCGAGCAGTCTAACTCCCCTGAGTTGGATAGAAGAAAAGAGATCTGTCAACAGGACAGGTGGCCAAAGGGAGACACCGCTCTCTCAGACTGCTATCTAAGAAAGGCCCTCCTCAGAGTTCTCAAGGAAAAAGACATAGTTTCTTAAGTATACATGAGGGTTGGTTGGGATTGGTTCACAGTCACCTGCCATCATACTTAGGCAATGAGGGATTGCCTAAGTAAGTAAGTAAGTAAGTACGAGGGTTGAATGAAAAGTAATGCCTCCACCTTCGTTACTTGGGTTTGGGATATTTTAATAAATCAAACGCAGAAATAATCCTTAGAATGTGCTCTTTAACTACCACTATTCACTTTTCCACATAATCACCAGACAATTGGATACATTTCTGCCAACAATGAACAAGTTTTCTGAAGCCGTTACAGAAGAAGTCGACACTGTTTCCGCAACCAGCGTCTCAGTTTTCTCATCCTAGGTACCCATCGTGCACAGATCTACTGATAGCCAAGCAAAGTAATAATGTGACCTACACGATCTTGTGAAATGCTGATTATGCTTGAAATTTCTCTCTGAGTGCTACAACAATCGTCCTGAATCAATCTGTCAACCTTTTGCTTGTGAAACTCGGTGGTTGTTGTCACAGGATGTCCAATTCTTTGGACACTCTGTTTCCGCTACCAGCGTCTCACAGTTTTCTCAACATCTTCATCAGAAGTATAATGATGTCCCCGCACATCTTCTTTCATTATTGGGAACAGATAGAAGTCAGTCGGTGCTAAATCTGGACTGTATGGAGGATGAAGTACGGTGGTGATATCCAGTCTCTGAAGTTTCAAGTCTGTGAGCTTTCATTTCAGGCATCAGCATCCTGGGTACCCATTGTGCACAGATCTTCTGATAGCTAAGAAAAGCAAAAATGTTACCCAGATGTTCTTGTGAAATGCTAAGGCTTCCTGCCACAATGGAACTGTAGAGGAGAGTCTATTGAACAAGCCAGTACCTGCCGCATACCAGTACTACCATCGGTTGAGGAGTTCGGAAGGTCCGATCAATGCTAAGGCTTCCTGCCACAATGGAACTGTAGAGGAGAGTCTACTGAACAAGCCAGTACCTGCCGCATACCAGTACTACCATTGGTTGAGGAGTTCCGAAGGTCCGATCAATGCTAAGGCTTCCTGCCACAATGGAACTGTAGAGGAAAGTCTACTGAACAAGCCAGTACCTGCCGCATACCAGTACTGCCATCGGTTGAGGAATTATGAAGGTCCATTCAATGCTAAGGCTTCCCACCATAATGGAACAGTAGAGGAGAGTCTACTGAACAAGCTAGTACCTGCCGCATACCAGTACTGACATCGGTTGAGGAGTTCCGAAGGTCCGATCAATGCTAATGCTTCCTGCCACAATGGAACTGTAGAGGAGAGTCTATTGAACAAGCCAGTACCTGCCGCATACCAGTACTACCATCGGTTGAGGAGTTCGGAAGGTCCGATCAATGCTAAGGCTTCCTGCCACAATGGAACTGTAGAGGAGAGTCTACTGAACAAGCCAGTACCTGCCGCATACCAGTACTGCCATCGGTTGAGGAATTATGAAGGTCCATTCAATGCTAAGGCTTCCCACCATAATGGAACAGTAGAGGAGAGTCCACTGAACAAGCTAGTACCTGCTGCATACCAGTACTGACATCTGTTGAGGAGTTACAAAGGTCTGTTCAATGCTAAGGCTTCCCACCACAATGGAACTGTAGAGGAGAGTCTACTGAACAATCCAGTACCTGCCGCATACCAGTACTGCCATCGGTTGAGGAGTTACGAAGGTGGAGGCATTGCTTTTAATTCAACCCTCATATCTGCTAATAATGATCCAAGAACACAGAAACCCACTCCAATAAACTTCCAAGGCAATTCTGGGCTCCTTGGTTCAAAAATGACTGGTCCAAGCAACCTGCACATGTCTGCATGAATCAGGAGGCACAGGCTGGTAATCCTGAGTGTCAGCTTATTTCTGCTATCCCACAAAGCATCTGGAAGGGATGCCAAACTAATCCCGGGAACGTCTCCATCAGAAAGGGACCCTGCAGCTGAGATTCCTGCAAATCTCCTTTGACAATGAAACACCCTCGGAAGAGCTCCAAGTCAGTACGCTAAGCAGCCGCTCTTTAGGAAACAATTGCAAAGAGGAAAAGGCTATTTTAAAATCTGAACGCAATTTTTCAGTAAATATTTCCTGTTCTCTTTATTGCCTCAAAGTGTAACAGGCAGCTTGAGAATAATTCTGTCAAGCAACCGAACATAGCATATACAATCGAATATAAGCCGGCCCGAATATAAGCCAAGGCACCTAATTTTACCCCAAAAAAACTGGGGAAAAGGATTGACTCAAGTATAAGCCAAGGGTGGGAAATGCAGCAGCTATTGATCAATTTTAAAATAAACATAGATACCAATACAATTACATTAATTGAGGCATCTGTAGGTCAAAGGTTTTTGAATATTTACATAAAATTGTCAAATTCTGATTAAACCATGACTCTAACCTTCTTCAATGTGAATGTGCTTACGTATCCTTCCAATAATAATACAGTAAAATAATAAATGTAATAATAATAAATGTAGTAGTAATAATAATATTAGAGTAAAATGATAAATAAATAAATAATAATTAGAGTAAAGTAATAAATGTAATAATAATAACAATAATAATAATAACCCCCGATGGGTGCCACCGTGTTGTGGTGAAGGGCTTAATTGTTCCAAGAGCTGTGCACACACACACACACACACACATACATCACACATTCCTAGATGCTTGGGAAGTGTTCGACTTGTGATTTTGTGATATGACATCCAGCATATTATTATTATTATTATTATTTGGGGTTCTTGTACCCCGCCCTTCTCACCCCGTAGGGGACCCAGGGCGGCTTACAACAGCAAAGGCACGCTTCGATGCCTGCCGCACAAAACAATCATCACAGAAGTACAACAATTCATAGTTATCACAATTCAAGCCATTATCCCAATTAAATCAATAAAAAGTCAATAAAATCAATAAAATCAATACAAACCTAATTCTTCCTCCTACCCTATCAGTGTACACTAACTCATAGATCTGTTTTTGATTCCACTTCGACAATCCTGCTGATCTTGCACGTCTGATTGTCTTATTTAGTTTTATTTAATTGCCTGGTTGCCCAAAGGCCTGGTTCCACAGCCATGTTTTCACCCTCCTCCTGAAGGAGAGGAGGGATGGTGATGCTCTGATTTCCCCCGGGAGTGAGTTCCACAGGTGAGGGGCCACCACTGAGAAGGCCCTGCTTCTCGTCCCCACCAGCCTCACTTGTGACAGTGGTGGGGTCGAGAGCAGGGCCTCCCCAGATGATCTCAAACTCCGAGGTGGGACGTAAAGGGAGATACGTTCGGACAGATACACTGGACCGGAACCGTACAGGGTTTTGTAGGTTAAAACCAGCACCTTGAATTGTGCTCGGAATTGAACCGGCAGCCAGTGGAGCTGGCATAGCAGGGGGGTGGTGTGCTCCCTGTATGTCGCTCCAGTGAGCAATCTGGCTGCCGCTCACTGGACTAGTTGAAGTTTCCGAACAGTCTTCAAGGGCAACCCCACGTAGAGAGCGTTGCAGTAGTCTATTCGGGATGTAACAAGAGCGTGGACCACCGTGGCCAGATCAGACTTCCCAAGGTACGGGCGCAACTGGTGCACAAGTTTTAATTGCGCAAAAGCTCTCCCGGCCACCGCTGAGACCTGGGGTTCCAGGCTCAGCGATGAGTCCAGGATCACTCCCAAGCTGCGAACCTGCGTCTTCAGGGGGAGTGTAACCCCGTCTAACACAGGCTGTAACCCTATACCCTGTTCGGCCTTACGACTGACCAGTAGGACCTCTGTCTTGTCTGGATTCATTTTCAATTTGTTAGCTCTCATCCAGTCCGACACAGCAGCTAAACACCGATTCAAGGTCTGGACAGCCTCCTTGGTGACAGGTGAGAAGGAGTGACAGATCTGGACATCATCCGCATAGAGATAACACCGCAGTCCGAAACTCCGAATGATCTCCCCCAGCGGCTTCATGTAGATGTTAAACAACATTGGGGACAGAATTGATCCCTGAGGGACTCCACACGACAATGGCTGTGGAGCCGAACAGGTGTCACCCAGTAACACCTTCTGGGACCGTCCCTCAAGAAAGGACTGGAGCCACTGCAAAGCAGTACCCCCGAGTCCCATTTCTATGAGTCGTCCCAGAAGGATACTGTGATCGACGGTATCGAAGGCCACTGAGAGGTCCAGCAGAACTAACAGGGACACACTCCCCCTGTCCAGTTCCCTGCGAAGATCATCTACCAAGGCGACCAAGGCTGTTTCCGTTCCATGTCCCGGTCTAAAGCCAGACTGTGCCGGATCAAGGTAATCAGTGTCTACCAGAAATCCCTGGAGTTGTGCTGCCACCACACGTTCCAGGA